AGTTGTCCCAAGGAACCAAGTAAAGAAAGGTTTTATGCATATGGCAAAGATGAAAAAAAAAAACCTTTGTAGCGTGTGTTTTGTCTATTATTTATTTATTGTTGCATGTTGGTCCATACCAGAACAGTTTTGTTGAGCGTTATTTTTGTGTGATAGTTTTACTTATGCCCACATAGTATGAATGATTTACTGGATTAAATTGATGAAAGCAAACAAGGTTCTATTGGGTGCCTCATTACCAATGTTTTTTTTTTTTTTTTTTTAAGAAAAAATGTGTGCGTTTATTATACATTGTCATGTAGTATCAATGATTTGTAGAATTAATTCAAAGAAAGGAAGGTGCCATTTGGTGCTTCTTTGCAAAGTTCTGTGTTATTGAATTTGTGAAAGCATTAATTCAATTTTTTTTTTTTTTAATCTACGAATATATAATCAACTTAACCTTAGCTTTTATGATCTAACTTATGAACAAAATTTTGGTCCATTAGATGCACCTAACTAGGTACATCATTTTTTAAAAAGGAGAAAAAAATTTAATGTAAAAGGAATATTTTTTGGAAAAGTGATGAAAAATTTTCAAATATGAAAAAAAATAAATGTACCCAGCTGAGTACATCTAATGCACCAAAGTTTTATTCCGAACTTAGATTGTAGATTGGCCTTTCCCTCGCTTCAAATATACATATTCTCCGGTGTTGTTAAACCCGACCCGGGCATTGACCCGGTCGGGGTACTGGGTAACTGGTCAGACCGGTTGACTCGGATATATATAGATATATAAAAATATATATAAATATGAACATATAAATTCAATTATATTTTTCATATCTAAAATGAATTAAAAAAGGTTCACTAAATAAGTTCAAAAACATAAGCATAAATAAATAAAAGTTCGTGCTATTACTATGTCAATTTAAATTGTAACTCAGAATCTCCATAAACATACCTCTCAATTTCACATTCTCTAATTTATTATTCCACAAATTGCTTTAGTATCGAAAACTAAGAGGTCATTGTAGAAGAGTATACTAGCAAATAAAATTACAAAAAGTTTTTAAAATGAGTTTTACATTTTTTTTTTATAAGATGAAACAATTTTGTTTTTTGTTTTAAATGCATGACCCGACCGGGTCATCGGGTCGACGAGTCATCGAGTTTGGCCGGGTTTGACCGGATCAATGCATTACCGGTCCAATGCTAGACCCGAATCGGTCTGATGACTGGTTCACCGGGTTCTGGGTTGACCCAGCCGGGTCGGGCCGGGTTTTACAACAGTGATATTCTCCGTAGGTGATATTTATTTTTAGTTATCTTCATCTTTAGCCAAATATATTTTTATAAATTTTTTTATTATAAATTCATAAAAAAAAGTTAGAAGCTCTGAGAGAAATGTTTTTAATATATACACCATTTTTTTTGGTAAACAACAATATGTACACCATTTTTTTTGGTATTCTGTACACCAATTTTTTTTAAAGAGTTATAATTTACTAAATTAAATAATTTAGTTTTAACTTGAACTTTAAAATAATTTTTAAACTAGAAAATTTATATAGTTACCAAATAATTTTAACTTTATTTTTTAAGTTCTTTTTTTTTTATTATTGGTATTTATGTTTTTTTTTTTGGTAAATTAAGTTCTTATGTTTAACTTCAACTTAAAAAATAAGTTTACACTTAAAAACACCTCTCCAAACAAGCTCTAAAATGGTGACTGTTGTCATACTTATAGGTGAACTCTACGAAGAGTAAATACGTACCCAAATTCCCTCCAACAAGGTTTGTATGATTTTATGTCTATTCATTTGATTGAAGTAGCACATAACTTAGTTCCAAAGAGTTGTTAGAGAAAATGGTGGTGTTGGGTATATCACCCTATATAATTCTGACAATGCTCGGATAGAAAAAAATATAGAAATTAATCTGTAAGAAATTATGTTAGTTCATGGATGTATAATTTTGTTAACCTATTCAAAATGTATGCTGGTCTTATTATAAAATGTGCAGACTTGACAAGCCTGTCCATAATTACCTAAATGACATCAAGACTAGATTGGTTCTAATTTGAAAATTTAGAACTAATTTTTTATCCTGCCGTTTTGAGGAATGTTATATTTACAAATTTTTTGTTTACAAAATACACGAAGTCTAACCAGTCATACACTCTTGACATAGTGTATTTTGTAAGTTTGTGAGAAAAAAAGTTTGTCAATATAACCCTTCCCTGTAGTTTTATAGAAAAAAAAAAAACAAATGTTCCATGATCTAGCCTATGGCCTAATATTTTTTTTCTTTTAATTTAGTGAATAGGACGTAGCTCATGAGGCCTTAATATAGGCTTTTGTATTGGTAAACTTTTTAATCTTGACGGCAATATTCACAAGATGAAATGTGAATGAGATTTTCTTTTTCTCACTCATAAAACATTAAAAATATCATACTTAAATACTCCACAGTCCAAATATTTAGCTAGTGTTTTATTTGCTCTCATTGATAAGTGGAACAATGACCAGATTGCCACTTTTGTGGCTTTTTTTTTACCATGTCACACTAACAATGTTATTTTTCAATAGTTTGCTATAGTAGGTAGCGAACTTGATTTGCTGATGTGATATGTTTCTAGTGGCCACCAAGTTCGCTACTGAGTGCAGCGAATTAGGTGACAATTAATGCCCTTATGCTCTAACGAGTTCGCAGGACACGTGGTAAAGTTTGCTGCCTATGCTAGCGAACTGGGTGTGCCATGTGGCAACATCTCAGCTGCAAAGGCCAGCGAACTAGGTGCCAAGTGGTAGCTCACTACAAGTTTGTTGCATGGGCCAACGAACTAGCTGCCGACAGTTATAGTTTGCTATATATAATAGCAGACTCAAAGTTGTTTATACACCATCCCCCCTTCCACGCGAGAGAGAGTGAGAGAAAGTGTAAGTGAGAGAGGAAGAGGAAGAGAGAGTGTAAATGAGAGAGAGAGATAGGGAGAGGGAGAGGTGTGTGGGGGAGGGGGTTTATAGGCTGGGGCTGGGTAGCCGTTGGACCAAGTTCGCTACCCACCCAGCGAACTTATCTATGCCAGCAAACTATGTCCAACGGTAATAAAAAAAGTAGTCATTGGGCCACGCAGGATGGGGTTTATATAGATTGGGGCTGAGTAGCCGTTGGACCAAGTTCGCTACCCACCCAACGAACTTGTCCACGTTAGACACGTGGCCCATCGACTACTTTTTTTAATTACCGTTGGACGAAGTTCGCTGACATGGACAACAAACTCCTATGAGTCTACCAAGTGGCGTGGCAGGTGGCATTAATTGTCACCTAGTTCGCTACACCCGGTAGTGAACTTGGTGAGCACCAGAAATACGCCAGATTAGCAAACCAAGTGCACTGTAGCGAATTTAAACACGTGGCATATAGAAAAATAACACTGTTAGCATGACACATTGGTAAAAAAATGCCACAGAGGTGAAAATCTGATCGCTGTTCCTTGATAAGTTTAGTTATCGTGTGCATAGAACTCAAATACATAATCCCACAAACTTACATGTTATGAACTGAATAAGAAATTCTGGACGGGCCAGAATAATCGTGTGAACATGAATATGATGTTCTATCGGTGCTTTTGTCAGAACTATCTGTCAATAATGGCCATGACCATTTTAAATCACTTATCTTCTCTTTGCCTCGGAACGACTTATATGAGCTGTCGTGTTCACAATTCTCTATCTCATTATCTGTTCTTTGAAGCCAGCTTTCAGCACTCTTAAACAGCACGCTGTTTAAGTCAACTTGTTAACTTAATATAAAAAATAAATAAAAAGTCAACTTGTTAACTTAATATAAAAGTCAACTTGTTATCTTAATATAAAAAATAAATAAAAAAGTCAACTTGTTAATTCAATATCAAGAGATCAAACAAAATAATTTATAATAATAAATAGAATAAATATTCTTTTTGGTGCTCAGCAAATTTCACGATACCCGCTTTAGTCCCTAACAAATAAAAAGGCCCATCGTGGTCCCTAAGAAATTCAAAATGGACCCATTTAGTTGAAATTGTGGTCCCTCATAAATTCAAAAAAGACCCATATTAGTCTTCAAAAGGACTAAAATGGGTCCATTTTGAATTTTTGAGGGACCACGATGTGCCTTTATATTTGCTAGGGACTAAAGCGAGCATCGTGAAATTTGTGGAGGACCAAAAAGAATATTTACTCTAATAAATATTCCAATTGGACGGGTGGGTTTGTAGGGTGACAGCAGGTCTCTCTCCAAGCGACATGAAACATACCATTTTGTTTATGAATTGTGTCATTTCAACTATTAAAATGCCAAAATATGGTATTTGGTTCTTGTCCCTAAATTTTCAGTACTCTTTATGTTCTGTTTTGAATTTTTTTTTTAGAAAAAAATTACTTCTCACAAAAGTTTCTTTGTATATCTGCTCCAAAAAAAGAAGAAATAAAAAAAAAAACAAAAAAATCTGTTTTATTTTTAAGCTAAAATTTTAGCTTAAAAAAAAATTTAAAAGTCATTTTTTTTTCAAAATAATTTTTTTAAAAAAATTTAAATAACTTTATTTTCTGTAATATTTTTTCTAAAATAAGTAAAATATAAAAAATATTTTTTTAGAAGCATTCAAACGGGCCATATTCTACCTACTTAAATTATCAGCACATGATTATTTACCAAAAACTATAAGTACATTTTCGGTACTTAAAAATAATCTTGATAGAAAATTAATATTTTTCATATTATAGAAAATAATTTATCTACAATACATATATAAAATTATATGACACTTTTATCTTTCTTTTTTCATATTATCCAGTAATATATGTATAAGAGATAAAATAAAATAAAATAATTTCTTTTTTATATTTGAGTTTGTTGTAACTTGTAAGACAAGAATAAGCCAAAAATAATTAAGAAAGAGAAGAATATAAAGAGTGAACTAAACATTGGAAAATAAAAGAAAATGGATATAAAAATGGAGAAAAGTGGGGTTACCGGATTTGTTCCCGAAGACGATGTAGGGGAATGTGGCCAAGTAACCGAGTCCGAACGAGGAAACCGAACAACGTGTTCAGCCGTGCAGTGTTGAAGAATATGAGCTCGGTGGAGCCCAGCTCCAGAACCCCATTCTCGGAGGGTATGGCAACGAAGGTTCGAATCCCAAAGTGGTGGGCCCTCTTGGTCCTCTGCCACGTGGAACCCAATAACTGATCTGTGCCTGTTACCCAAACGGGACTCGAATTGAAGAAAGCGTGTCCGGGCAAGTCCTCTGTGTCGGTGAAGGATTGACTCATCGATATCTTAAAGAACCACTCCTCGTCGCTGACCGTGACCGTGACAGACGACCCGAAAATGCGAAGCTGCTTAAACGACGACGCTTTGGGGTTGTAGTGGCCATCGTGGAAATTCAAGAGGGAGCTGTTAGAGGAGGAGCGCCAGAGGATAGCGTAGGTCCAGGTCTGTGTGTCTGTGGTGTCCTCAATCAGCGCCTTAAGGTGGGACCCATGCAACAGCTGAAGACTCAGGGTCAGGGAGAGAGTGTTGTCTTCTGTCATTTTTGGCGGCAACCCAAAATCTCTCTCATTCCATTCGTTAGTGTTTAATTTATGTGAAAATATTTTCTCATGTTTTGTTTGAGCACAGGATGTCGACATGTAGCGCGAGCCTCACATGATGTAAGGGCTTCGATCACAAAGGTACGTGATAAACAAAACTCCTTACTAAATTCAAATTAAACCCAAGTTAAGTCCTTCCGTGAGTCAAACTCGAACGGCGTTGATAACAGCTTCGAACGGCGTTAATAACAGCTTTGGTGAGCAACTTTCTCTTTACTCCACTTCCTATCATGGTTTCTCCGCAACCATACCTTCCCATGAAACACGGCAAAGACAAAGAACCATGCATCCCGCACTAGCAACGATGGTTTTCAGCAACATCCTCACTCCAAGCCACGGTGTCTCCCTAACCAACCTGCATTGCATCCCAATATCAAGCAAAGATTGCAGAAACCTCATAGCACTCCATGTGAAGAAAATGGTTAAAATCCGAACCTTTACAGGTCAACATTGCTGCCATTAATTAGATCCAGAAAAATCAGAAGAAGTTGTTAATTACTTAGCTATTGTTAAAGATTGAGTAGACAGTTCAACAATGCAACCATAGGATAGGACCCAGGAAAATCAGTGTCAGTTCAAATATTCTAGGTAGTAGGTTATTAGCAAAAGTAAATAAGGATAGTGGCCTGATTTTTGGCACCATTTTCTTTTAATTATTATGCCTTGTTTTACATATGCTTTCTCTAGTATGAAATAAACTTTATTGGACCAGTGACCGGGACAGTGATCAAAGTGTCACGCTTGGACAAAAAAATTACTAGACTGTCACGCCAACAGTAAATTTTGAGAAATTCGCTACATAGTGTAGCGAATTTCTCAAAATTTGACATGTGGCATTTTTGGTTCTGACGTGGCATATTTCGCTACACTGTGTAGCGAATTACTTGCATGCATAATTCGCTACACTGTGTAGCGAATTGTGCCGCGTGGCATTTTGACAAAATTTATTATTGGCGCGGCAGTCTGGTAATTTTTTTGTCCAAACGTGGCAAAATGTCACTGTTCCGTCACTGATCCTTGGTTCTATTATTTTAGGCAACTTGGGTGCCCTCCGTTTGCATTAAGTTATGGACCTGTATAAGGGGCTTATAAATTGACAGGTCCAACAAGGGGCAATCTAAGATTTAAATCAAACATAACTATGGAAAGGAATCCATCAAGTATGCTAATCCTAATACGACAACATGACAGATGGGCTTGGACACTTATCAAAGGTATCAAGGGTTCATATTCTACGACCCACAGGTAAATCCTATAATTAAGAGGTAAAACCTAAAGGTACGTTACGTTCTCTCTCTTACTGTTATGATGTCACTGTGCGCCCATTGGCAAAGCCGTTATTCATTCATTGTGCACAGTGATCTGCTTGACTCAAGGGTATCTCCTACATAAGATACCTTGGAGAGGGCATTAGATCCAAGATCAACATACCAGTCCATTGGGCTGGATATCTCTGTCTCCAAGAAAGAACATTAGCGCCGTTTGTGGGAAATCGACAAATTTGATATTCCCACAATCCTGATTAAAGATGGCAGTCCGTACAAGCAGCAATAGCCAGCAACCACAACTTCCAAATCACCCGCTGGATCCCGTTTTGGAAGAGGTGAATCAGCCTCTCCAACAACAAGAAACCGAGGTGGACTATGATGCGGTCCATGTCAGCGAGGATGTATCAGACACAGCCTCTACGACAGCCCCCCGTAACCGAGTTGCAGATCCAGATCCAGCACTGAATAACCCTCCTCCCCCTCAGCATACTGCCGACATTGCCGTCCGTGGAGCACAGGCTGCAGACCTGATTCTCGCCTTGCTCAAAACACCTTCGCTGTAATTTTGCGAAGGATGGAAGATATGGAGAATCGTAACAACCTCCAACGACAGAACGATTTCAAGAGAATTCAGGAGGAGAATGCAGGATCTGGAGCAACGATTGTTAGGGATGAGAGGACCTGGACCAACGAGGATCTAAGGCCGAGATGGGAATCACAACCCGGATACGCAGGCTGGATTGTCGTAACTGAGAACCAAGGAACATCAAATATGGGAATTGCTGGGGTCCCAAACCCCAGAGGCCAAGGAATGAATAACCAGAATACGAACACACAACCTCTGGTCCAGAATGCTTCAGCAGGAGCGATTGTACAGATAAATAGGGATGAGACACATCTTAACCAAGATGCCCTACCCGCCAGAGGACACGTGGAACCCGGTGGTTACAGGAGGAAATACAGCAGGGGGCAATAAAATAACAGCCCCTTCACCGGGGAAATACTGAATGATCCACTCACGGAGGACTTCGATTTGGCACGCCTGCCGAAATATGGTGGAAGTCAGGATCCACAGGTCCATATAGATGCATTTGACACAGACATGTATATCCCCAGAATTGATGAACCCATCATATCCGGGATATTTGCCATAACGTTGACTGGGGCTGCACAGACATGGCTCTCAACCCTGCCTGCTAACTCCATTGGATATTTCGAAGAATTCGGAGAAAAATTTCTATTGAATTTTGCAACAAGCAAAAAACACCCAAAGTCCGAGTTCGCACTAGGGAAGATACGACAGCAACTTGGAGAAACCCTACAGAGGTATCTCAACCGATTTAAAGATGCGGCCTTTCAAGTGTCGGGTTTGCAGGAAAATGTCCACGTCAACCTCATTGTGGCCGGCCTGGATGGATCATCTAGACTGGCCAAATCGGTTTATAAAAACCCTGTGAGGACATTGGAGGAATTCAGAACCCGTTCGAAGAAGTACCCGGAACTCGAACAAATAGAGATAGCAAATGCGCAATCTGAATAGGGTAAAAGAACGAGTCCGAGAAGGAGGAGCCCGACCCCAAGAGAAAAATAGTGAACCAGTAATAAAAAGAGAGATCCCTAAGGCAAAAACCGGATGATAGAGACCGGGTTGGAAGGTATGAAAAATACACACCTTTGAATGCCTCATGCTCTCAAATTTGGAGGGAAGTGGCAATGACGAAGATGAAAAAGGAAGATAGATCCCGACCCATATTTGACATAGGAGGCTTGGATAAGTCCAAATACTGTGCCTTCCATGATGGATCGGGGCATACCACTGATGAGTGCTGGGATCTCAAGGATGCTGTGGAAAAATTTGTCAGAGAAAGGAAATTACGCCAATACGTTATTAAAACTCAGGGTTCCAAAAGTAATAAGAGGAAGCCTGTAAACCAGAAGAGAAGCAAGAGTCCAGTGCCTGAAAATAAAAAGCAAGAGGATAGAAATCGAAGAGATGATTTCAATTATGACGAATTCCCAGAAGCTGAGTTCGATTGCAATGTGATCAGTGGCATACCTGAATCAAAAAAGCTACTAGATGAAGAGTCGCTAGAGGATGAAGAGGTTGGTTTGTCTAAGATTGTGATTGGATAATCTGCCTCACCAGAAGCGGAGGTAGATCCTGAAACATCTCCATGCTGGCAACTAGTTAAAGTAGACTCGGCTAAAGAGTCACATCCTTGTTCAATGAGTTTGGAACTTAGAAAGATACAAGAATAGGAAGAACCGACTTTCTTGTCGTGGGAAGACAGTGGAAGACCCCTGTTGATTGATAGAGGTTCAAGATTTGTTATAGATGAAACACTGAAAGGTTTAGGACCAGTTTGGGGAAAATACTGGAAGACATGTCTACTTGCAAAAAGATGACTCCTACCCCGTCTGGAAGAACCACTACCCCGGCTTTGACCTAGACCCCGACTAGACAACCTAGATCTCCTTATGGATCTACCACCACGACAACTGCGAAGCATGGCTTCGCGTTCCTCTTCTTCAGTCCTCGGAATCCCCCACAGCCAAAAAAGAACACTAGGAGGAACCTTCTTCAAAAACTCGGAACCTTCCTCCTTCTTTCCCTCACAGTGCAAAACTGAAGAATGAGGCTTTCCCCCCTTATTTTCGTAAATGTTCAAACGACACCAAGTTCAAAATAACAAAGAAAAACGACAATGGAGGGTGACATATGCTAAAATGCCAAAAGTTTAAACAACATGCATCACTCCAGAAACACAAATACTGACATAGCAAGAAGAAAAAGCAATCAACAAGCGATTTACCAAAATAACATGTGAAGAACAACAAATCTAAAACAGAAATGATGAATGTCCCAAAAGCAAACGACCAAACGCAGACTACTGAAGAAGAAAATAAGAGAAGTTCGAAGGAAAACAAGAATACTTGAATAAAGGAGATGAACTTGCAAGAATATGCAAAAATGCACTTGCAGACGTTAGCACTCAAGAAATTTGTGCAAAGAAGAACTTCTCCAGAATAACCAAAGTAAAAAACAAAGAAAGGAAAGGGCATATGCTTATATAGCCACAATAGTAACCGCAACGATTACGGATGGCAAGGGTTAGGGGCACTGATGTCATTACACCCAAAAAGTAATGATTAGACGTCTGAAACGACACATTCAATAAATGCGCACGAAATGCGAAAATGGCACAAAACGGCTACCGCACTCTAACAAATGCGACAAGCACCACGTGTCAGAATAAAATGATCGATGACAATAAAGTCGGTAAGGAGAACTGAAAACTTCCGAGATTCAAGAAATGGACATCTAGACACAACGATGTTTAACAAGGTTACAACGATGATGTTTGCCGAGTTAAAAAGATGATGCGCTTGGAGGCAACCTGCCAGTTGGATCCGAATAACTCAAGCTCATGCATCATCCTCTGGTATGTACACAGTATCTCGTTGGGTTCATGCTTAACCCGCCAAGATAAGGGACCGAGAGAAATCATTCCTGGTTCCATAAGAAAGTTATAAGCTCAGAACATATGTTAGGGCATATGCATAAGGAATGATGGTTGGGGGCAACTCGCCAATTGGATCACAACAACTCAAGCTCATTCCCAACTCGGGGCAAGGAATATGTACGACATCTTGCCGGGTCGCGTTCAACCC